TGTATACAAAAGCTTCATGCAAGCTAAACACAATCTCCTCCTCAACAGGTTGTTAATTTCTCTCTGTAAGATTCCACGACGGTGGGCTTCATTAAAAATTGAGCCGGCCAGAATATCAGAGAGAAGAATAAATTTAACACGTATGAGCCATTAATTAGCGGTCCAATTGCCGATATTCTTGTTGTACAAGGGGAAGGTTACGTACGCAGCGTCTGCTCCGCGAAAAAGAAACCATTCATAAGTACACCGATTTGTTTGCCTTGTGCTTGCATAAAAAACTGGCAGCACTAGTGCGTAAAATATGTATAATACATTTTCATTGGTACGGCAGAACTTGACCATATATCTACGTAAAAATTTCCATAATTCATATAGATTAACAGCGTGCAACAGCGTACCGCGCGATGCCAGTTTCGATAAAATGCGGTCAGCAGAAAAAAATATCACGCGAAATGTAAGAAATATATCTTGGAACATGGTACTATTTAGACAAGGTCCTGGGTCAGTCCTTGGACCGCCTAAAATCTTCTGAAATTAAAAGGACTGACCTCATACTACTCCGAAGTCCTGGAATCTGGAGGATTATGATCACATGAACCTCAAACTTTGGGTCCTATGATTCTAGGGTCCCAGACTTTGAGGTTTCTAACATTGAGATGGGTCCTATGACTCTAGGGTCCCAGACTTTGAGGTTTTACAAATTTGACGTGGGTCCTATGACTCTAGAGTCACAGACTTTGAGGTTTCTAACTTTGAGATGAGTCCTATGACTCTGGAGTCACAGACTTTGAGGTTTCTAACTTTGAGATGAGTCCTATGACTCTGGAGTCCCAGACTTTGAGGTTTTATGAATTTTACATGGGTCCTATGACTTTAGGGTCCCAGACTTTGAGGTTTTTGACTTTGAGATGGGTCCTATGACTCTAGGGTCCCAGACTTTGAGATTTTTGACTTTGAGATGGGTCCTATGACTCTAGAGTCCTAGACTTTGAGGTTTTACGAATTTGACGTGGGCCCTATGACTCTAGGGTCCCAGACTTTGAGGTTTCTGTCTTTGAAATGTGTCCTATCACTCTAGGGTCCCAGACTTTGAGGTTTCTAACTTTGAAGTGGGTCCTATGACCCTAGAGTTCCAGACTTTGAGATTTTATGACCTCATAGTGAATCCTTTGACTCTAAAGTTCCAAACTCTGATGTGTTACAATCTCGAGATAGGTCCCATGATTTTTAGGTTCGAAATCTCGAGGTTTTACGACCTTGGAGTAAATTTCACGACTCTACCATTCCAGACCTCGAGATTTTGCGATCCTATAGTCGTTAATAATCATAATACTCTTTATAATCTTGATAAAACTATAAATGTATATTTGCAGTAAAGCGTTTTACAGACTTAACGCCCACTATTACCGAATAATTTTCTCTCATCCATTACGATAAACTTAATAATTGCTAAAACTTATGTAAATCATTGTACATCAAGTTTTCGGCTAGTTTACCAGACGGAAATTGCTTGAAAAGGAATTCTCTTGGTGAAGTAGAGGGAGGTAGTCACGGTAGGAACTTGGTAAGAGAAACAATTAACTCTGCACGAACACATTTACAGCTGCCGAGTTTCGCGAGCAATGAACTCATGGGAAGTGCTCGTACCGCGCCAAGATGCTACTATGAACAACTGCAATTTCATTGCTACGAACGTTAACAGCTACAAAGTCCAATCTGTGCATCTGTTACTCTTGTATTTCTTTGAATTAATAAAGTCAATGGAATTTATCGTTTCATATACCCTTTCTTACGGTGTAATTTAAGTAAAATCGTTCGTATCAAGTTCATATTCTACTTGCAATTCATTTCCATACACATAAACGTTCGATAAACCTTGTAAAATATTTCTTTTCATATTTTCCACCAACTTTAATATATTATATTGTTTAAAATACGTTTATTAACCGTTTATCACGATTTTTACCAAGAAAAAAACATTGTCAAAGATGAAAGATTATTTAAAAGAAAATTTAGATTTGAACTAACAGACAAGATATACGTAGTTGTCAAACGAAATTTCTAGCCGTTTGTAATGGTGGACGTTTATTGAAATTTAGGGATCCCCCTTCGTATGCTAATGCTCTGTTCTTTCTACGCATCTCTGCTCATTGTATGCAGACTAAAAGTGCGCCTATGCGACGCGTAAAGTAAAGACACATTATACGAAGAAAACAAGATACACAAGGTAATGATAATATGTTTCAAGCTTGAATACACAGTTGAACGAACGAATAATTGCTTTTAACGATCGTAATATTGAATTGATAATTAATTACAAACGAATTAATAAATGAAAGTGTTAATTTAAACAGATCAAGATACTGAGAAATTTCTTTTCGAAAGAATTTCTATCCACACATACATACGTACACCTGGGAAATATACTTCGTCAAGGAATTCGCGAACAATGTGCAATAAGGTGGTGTACACACGTAGCTTGAGGAATTTTTCAAAGAATTTTTCTAGGCACGCACAATGTGCAGCAGATCGGCCAGGTAAGATACAACGAGTGGGAATACAGAAGAGAAGCCTCTATAACGGTATAAAATATAGTCGAACTGTTGCTCGCAGAAAACAAGAAATGGAGCACGCGGTCTTTTTCCCCCGAGGACGATCTAGATTACGGAATAAACCGCGCATTACGAAGGGGACCGCATTTCCTCGGGATATCTGTGTGTACGCTTGCTACAAGACAAGATTTCCATACGACTTTATTTCAGAAACCTGTTCTTCTATTTGTACAATCCCAGTGCACGGTGTAACGTTTCCATAGGGTCTACGCTATGAAAAAAGTTCGAAAAGTAAATATACAAACGTAATTTCACATCAAAATCAAGAATTCGAAAGATATTCCGAAAAGTGTTTTTAACGTTTGAAGTAGATGAAAACCTGATTGAATGTTCGATTGAACTTGTAAACGCGCCACTTTTACACAATAATACACGCTATATTACGTAAATTACACCAAGAATACACTTGCATGGATACTTCAATCTCATTAACTGAAGAATTGTATTTGCAAATCAAGAAATACTGACACAACAAACTACCGTCATTTTGCCAATTTGAAATTTTCGCACGGCACCATTAGCAATGTCTCGAGGCTTAAGTAATATCCTGAAGTGACAGCAGCGGATATTACCTACTGCAGCTTTGTACAAAATAGACATTGCAAGGTTTACCGATGTACAGTTGAGAAACACTATTTGAATAATGTCCTTAACAATAATTGCGTTGGTCACGAAGCAGGTGAACATTGTTTACGATGTCTCTCGATACAATCACTAAACCAATTAATCCAACTTGGTTATATTATTAAATTTTAATCAAATGTCATTAGTCAAATGTCTAGGAACTAATTAAGCCCTATTCTCTTTATTAATTTCGTTAAATATTCAATGATTTTATATATTCAAATAATCAATGGATTTTAACTTACATACTGTAAATATTTAATATATTTGGCTTCCATAATTTAATATATATAAAATTCTTGATTACATAATTGCATAAAACTTTGAAAGATTAAATCAATATTTAATAATGCATAAAAAATAATCTATAACATACTCAAAACATGTATACATAACAATGAATTACAATATCTGGCACTGACAACGGAAGCAATCACTAGTACATCCATAAGATTTCATAAATTTGAGTTCTGGAGAAGATTGTGCAGGTCCTAAGTTCAAAGAATCCTCGCTCTCATCACTCAGCTCTTCAATGCTAAATGTGTCAGTAAGATCTTGTTTGTGCTTTGAAGATTCTTTTAATTTAGTTGTTGGAAAAAGAGTCATTTCACCTTCACTGAAAACACATAGAGATGCACGGTACTAAAAATTATTATATATATTATATAAGTTTCTAGCTACCTTTCACTGTCACTATGCCAATATTCAACAAGAGGAAGATGTTCTTTATTTTTATTTGGTACAGGAAGTCTTTGAATTGATATCAAACCAGCAGTACTACTACCACCCCCAGATCCCTTATCATATTTTGGCAACTTTACATAATCTGAATTACGTTGAATACGTTTAGCTTGTTCAATTCGAGCCTCTATCCAAAATGAAAGATATATAAACAAAATTATAAGCATTATTATATCTGTAGGCAATAAAATAATAATTAACAATAATACCAAGCTTTCTTTGCAACTGTTTAGTAGTAGAATTATGTTGTGATGTTTGTGTCTGATTGCTGCTACAACTACTATCACTTCCCTAAAATAAAGAAAAGTACAATGATGTGTCCTTTTGTTGTATGTTTTCACTCAAATTAATCATAACATCTTCACTGTAATTTAAGAAATGCATAATGCGGGGAACTACATATGTATTTACCAGAAAAAGCCTTTCATCTTCTATATTAGTAGTTTTTGGGTCACTGTCAATCCCGCTATCTTCCATCACAAAACAAAAATTTATACTAAACTAAAGACTAATTCCCTCAACTCATCTGTAATAAAATGTAAGACTTTTTCACTGACTGTCAAAATCTTATTATTCGTAACCACATACAAATATAACAACATTTCATTAGATGAGCAATAATATAATACCTCTTATGACTCAAATATTTAACAGCAATGCACAGATTCCTTTTTTAATTTATACACTGTCATGTTTTATATACAGGTACTTTGAACAGGTACTTTAAAAATAATTATTTATTCTGAAATATAATATTAATTACATATGATACATATTTTGTTATGTAAAATCATGCTTAATAAAACACAATTAGGAGGTTTTTACTCACAAGAATTTATAAGCTTCTCTGACTTATCTACAAGTAGGAAGCATGCTTACATTATCATGGTATGTTCCATTATTGATTTTCTTTCATCTATATAACCACACAAAATACCTTAAAATTGTTATCCTTATATAAAAAAAATACTTTAATATGATTAAATGAATACTATACCT